AAAATCCCAAGAGGAGAATGGAGAAGAAGAGATTGCAGCATGGAGGCACTTTCTCACTTTGATGAGTATCCACGCCCTCTGGCAAACAAAAACAAAAACAACCTAGCTGTTCTTTTCCAAGTTAATGAAAGAAGTGGAGTATTAGGTTGTGGTACACCAGTCAAAGAGCAGAGATAGGGGTCCCGGTACTGGAGCCTGCTGCCAATCAGTACTACAGGAGTGTTGGTTCCCAGATAAGCTCTGGCTTCTGCACAGGGCTCAGTTCTCAGGGAGTGCCTAGTCAGGCAAGGAAATGCATAACAAATTAGCAATACAGCGCTGGAGGAGTGCTATAACAGGGTTAACACACAAAGGATAGCTCAGATTGGGGAAGCAAGGCTTCAGGGAGAGGAACTGTTAAAGGTGGATCTTAAAGGATAAAACTGACCTTGCCAGGCAAATTACAGTAGAGGAGAACAATCTACTGGGTTGTCAAAAAAGTCGACGAGTTTCCGCACAGAAAAACATTTAAAAAAGAACATCATGACTTTTCCTACAATGCAATATTATAACAGAGAGAACAGCATATGAGAAAAATTTAAATATGGACAGAATTAGATAAATTTTGTGGAGAAGAAACTCAATGTAACCAAGTAAAATTGTACTAAACCATCTAAGTGTACTCAATTATTATGGCTGTGATGTGGTTTCAGGAGCTATATCTTCAATATATTAGTAGGTAGCCTGTTTACTTAATTAATTAATTGGAGAGATTTTTGCTATAGGGCACGTGCGCTCGCCTGAAAAACAGAGAGAGACAGAGAGACAGAAAGCGAGAAATCACGCTCTCAGGGGGGATGGCCACGCCACAATTACTTCTCCTTCTTTCTCTCCTCGGGATCTTGGGGACGCACACACACATGCCTGGCATGAATTTAAGCCACCGGGTCCGGGACTTGAACCATGGTCGACAACATGGGAGTCCAGCAACATAGCCATTACACTAACTGCTGGTCTCTATTTTATTTATTAAATATTTGTACACAAAACAGTCAATGCTGGTACCCCAGTACTAACTGGAGGTTGCCTCAAGCACATGCCTTCCCTATCTACTCTCTCTATAGCCCCAAGGACACTTTCATTGGTACAAAGTAAACTAATACTTCATGTTGTCCCAATGACTGTGTCAGAGACCACCAGAACCCTCCTTGCTCCACTCCAGATCTATATTCCTAAAAACAGTTCAAAGTTACACTGTCTTTATAGTCTTACAATCTTCCATCATTTAGACTGTAAAAAAGACTGAGCAAGTCTATCACCTTGAACAAACGTTATAAAACAGAAATAACTCTCTCACACACACAAATTTACAGAACATTTAACAGGTACTTCTGTGAATCTGGGGGGAAGACATTACTTGAGCAGTGGTTCCCAAACCTAGTTTGTATCAGAATTACCTTGAGGACTTTGATAAATATACATTTTTTTTGAGAGAGAGATTTTTGCTATAGGGCATGTATGCTCATCAGAGACAGAGACAGAGAGAAAGAAAGAGAGAAATCACCCCCCCAGGGGGTATGGCCACACCGCAATTCCTTCTTCTCCATTCTCTTGAGATTTTGGGCGCAGGCACACACACCCAGCATGAGTTTCAAGCCAACGGGTATGGAACTTTAACTATAGTCACCCATGTGGAAGTCCAACACCTTAACCACTACACCACCCGCTGGCCCCACACAGATGCATTTTAATCAAAGTCTACCTTATTTTCAAAGGTCCCCAGGTGCTTCTCTGTTTACCATTAGGCTGCAACTGACCATAAAAACAACAGTTATTCACTCTAAATGTAGATCTAAATAAAGTCAAGCTATACAAATATCGTAATTTCTACTGTGTGAACTTTCTGTTCATTCTTTTGATAAAAATCTACAGTCTACTTCAAAACTAATATGATTACCATATAAACAATAATGGAATATATGACTTGACGAGTCAGTCCCAAAGTTTTTAGGTCTATTGTGGGTACCTCTAATATTAAATTATCTCTCTAGATGGTAAGGACAAGCTCAAGGCATGACAGAAGAAAATAAAGAAAAAAAGAGAGAGTATGTGGGGGGAAATGTAAATATGTAACAGGGTGAACTCACAGTTTTACAATGTGCCTCAATGGCCATGTGGCCACAGCCCTACTTTGTCTATAACCCAGGACTTACTCTTTAATAGAAACGAGATCATTTTTATCTGGTATAGGAAATCTAAGATTAAATCTAAGATCAATCAAAAGGTTATAGCTTAAATTCAATGTACACTTTTACCAAATAGCATGCAATACAATATAATGTCTTTGACAAAGATGAAAATGTAATAACATTTAAAAAAGCAGTAAGATATTCTTGGTAAGTAATAGTAAAATATGAATAATAAAGTTATTCACTAAAGAGAAATGATTCTGAAAAGCAAAAACAAACAACATATGAACAAGACAGTACTTGCATAAATTTAAAAGAAGAAACAAAATGATACTTTGAACATTTACTAGATTAAAACAAGCAATTTGGCAACATGGTTATTTTTTAGGGCTATGGAAAGAAGTATAGAAAAGAGGGAAATACAGGCAATAGTTTAACCAAGAAATTGGGTAAACCTACCCTTCAGTATAAAAATACCCACAAGATACAAAAGGCAAGGGGGGGGAGGATCAGCAGTTGGCGTAATGGCTATGTCACTGGATTCCCACGTAGTTGAACGCGGTTCGAGTCCCAGATACGGTGGCTTAAAAAAGAGAGCAGCCAGGTCCAGGACTCATAGTGGTTATGTTGGGAGTCCACCAACATAACCACTATGCCATCTGCTGGTCCCAGTATAGCCTGGGGCTGAGGTTCGAGTCCCAGACCCAGTGGTTTGAAAATCACACCGGGTGCATGTGCACACATGCCCAAGATCCCAAGAGGAGAGTAGAGAAAGAACTGCAACATGATCATCCTCCCGGAGGTGGTTTCTCACTTTTCTTCCAATGGTCTCTGTCTCTCTCTAGCGAGCCCACACTCCCAAGGGCAAAAACTTAAAAAAAAAAATTATTTTATTTAACTTTATTTATTTTAATTTGACAAGAGAGGGACAGAGTGAGAGAGAGGGGTCAGGTCCGGGACATGAACCACAGTCAGTCATGTGGGAGCTCAGTGCCCTTAATCACTTAACTACCTGTTGGGTTCTGCAAAGACCTCTTTATTAAAAAAAAAATAAAAGGTTATACCATATAGCCTGGGTGGACTGTACAGTTATATTATTTAGGTTTGTATAGGCCCACTCTCTGATGTTTGCACAACAATAAAATTGCTAATAACACTCTCAGACTGTTTTCCTGCATTAAGCAACACATAGCTACAAAGCAATAATTAAAATAATTTAGAACTTCCAGTAGTCCAACTGGACAGTACTAAAAATAGCACAAACTGGGATCAGCAGTTAGCGTAATGGCTATGTCGCTGGACTCCCATGTGGTCGACTGCGGTTCGCGTCCCAGACCCGTGGCTTAAAAAATGCCGGGCATGTGTGCGTGTGTGCCCAAGATTCTGAGAGGAGAAGGAACTGCGGTGTGGTCAACCCCCCTGGGGGGTGATTTCTCGCTTTCTGTCTGGCTAGCGCACATGCCCTATAGCAAAAACTTCTCCCCCTCCCCCCAAAAAAGCACAAACCAACTATTCCAAAGATGGTCTGTTCTCATCACAGAGAGATCATCAAAGGATTTTTTAAAGTTCTGCTTTATGCAGAAAGAGATGAATAAGCTCAAAATCTTAACAGCCTAGGTATTAGATACTGGGCTTTAATAATAATGACAGAGCCTAGTAATTCACCATATATGTGGACAAACTTGCTGGGGACATAAAATTTTTAAAGAATTATTTACTTAATTTTATTTATTCATTCATTTATTTTAATTTGACCAGAAAGAGACAGAGAGAATGAGAGAGAAAGCCACCCAGTCCAGGACTCGAATCGTGGTCAGTCACATGGAAGTGTCCAGCACCTTAGCCACTATGTCACCTGCTGGTCCCCAGGGGACATAATTTTGAAAACTCTGGACCCAGGGCCAGTAGGCAGCATGGTGATTAAGGTGCTGGATTTCCACATAGCCAACCACGGTTCAAATCCCAGACACATTGGCTTGAAAATCATGCATGTACCCAAAATTCTGAGAGGAAAAGGAGAAGAGGGACTGTGGTGTGGCCATTCCTCCCCCCCCCATGGGTAATCTCTCATTTTCCTTCTCTCTGTCTCTGGTGAGCATATGCATACTATAGAAAATTTGAACATATGTGTGTATGTGTGTGTGTGTGTGAATATATATATATATATATTTACCTATTTATATATTTATTCTGGCCCAAATGTAGTAGCACATGCTGGGTGCTGCTGCTTGGCAGGCTAGGGGCACATGGGAGGCCTGAGTTCAATTTCCAAACCACTCTAAAGAGCCAGGTACAGCAGCTTGCACACACAGCCCCAGCTACTCAGAAGGCCAAGGCAGCAAGGTTGCAACATAGTAAGACTCCAGATTAAAAACAAAACAAAACACCTGACAATTACATTAAAAACCTCATGTATGAAAAAAAAAAAAAACCCTCATGTATGTACTACACTTGAGAACAGTAAGGTACAACCTCGATATATTTTGTTTTTGCTTTTAAAACAAGCTCTGACGGGACCAGCAGTTAGCGTAATGGCTATGTCGCTGGACTCCCATGTAGTTGACTGTGGTTTGAGTCCTGGACCTGGTGGCTTAAAACTCCCGCCGGGCACGTATGCATGCGTGCATTTCCTAAGAGGAAAATGGAGGAGAAGGGATTGTGGTGTGGCCATTCCCCCCTGGGGGGTGATTTCTCGCTTTCTGTCTGTCTGGCAAGTGCACGTGCCCTATAGCAAAAAAAAACCTCTTCAAAAAAACAAAACAAAACAAAAACCAAACAAACAAAAAAACCAACAAACTCTGGTAAGCTTTATTAAAGAAAAATGTTGCATGATTAGTTTTCACCGGTCTGTTCAGGCATATTTCTAATGATATTGGAATTACCTGGATCAATGACCGCCAATGTGCATACTCTGTAGTATTTTTCATATGCTGGGCCCAATTCAATATTTCCACCATAGTGATAGACACCAGTTTTGGCCAACATGGCATAGTACTCTATTTCAGATTTCCTCAAAGCTGGGCAGTTGGTGGCAAGGATGACCAACTTCACTTTGCCTTGTCTGATCAACTTCAGAGTCTGCTTGTACCCCAGGACATACTTCCCACTTTTCATACCAAATTGGAGCCGAGCGTTGATCGACTCCAGCGACTTTTTCGTCATCTTTGCGGCCACCATCTTCCTGCCTTAGGTGCGGGACAGCCCCCAATCAAAAGCAGCTGCCAAGATGGCCGGGAAGCAAGAAAGCTCTACATTGTTTTTCTAAAGACAGACATTGATACATGTTTCTCTGTCAAAAAGAGACCTACAGAACTAAATGTATATGAGACAGCTCCAAAGCAAATGCAGCAGGAAATTTTATGAACCCCAGAGACTACTCAGAGCCAGTGTAATGAAGAAAAAAGGAACAAGTACTTGTCTAACATCCATGACTTTGGGTAGCAAATCATTTTGACTCAGAGTTTCCTAATTTGTACAATAAGGGGACTACAAGAAAAGCTGAACTTTCTTTTGGCTTTAACGTCCTATACTTTTTTTAGGGTTATCAATTACAGTAATTTTTATACATAAGAAGAATGGAGCCAGTACTGCTACTTTATAGCTGTGAGGAAGAGGGGGAAAATCAAATCAGTCAGGAAGTTATACATTATTATTTTTAATTTGTTGTAGGGTACACGTGCTTGCTGGAGAGAGAGAAACTTTTTAAAGAGAGAAGGTACCTCTTAGGGGCTGGCCACATTGCAATTGCTTCTCCTCATTCTCCTTTTGGGACTTTGGACACATGCACATGCACCCAGCTTGTCTGTCAAGCTGTTGGGTCTAGGCTTCGAACTGCCAGTACTTCATGTGGTATCCAGCTGCCTTAACCACCATACTACCAGCTGGCCCAGTTGGGAAGTTTTAACAACTGCACATAATGAGGGTGTTCACAAGCGCGGAACAAAGGGTGGTTTTCTGACTTTCTAGTCCCCTTGTCCATAACCTAGAAATCAGACAGAAGCCTCTAAAGCCTAGTTAGACAAGAATGGCTAACATCACTCTCTTCAGTAGCACTTACATCTGTGGTACAAGAAATATAAAGAATAATCACTTATACTTGGCCAAAAAAGACATGACGTAAGACGTAATCAACCAGGCTGGCCCTTTCTTCCCTCCATTAGTTGTTATTTTTGGAGAGATTTTTGCTATAGGGACAGAAAGTGAGAAATCACTCCCCCCCCCAGGGGGATGGCCATGCCACAATTCCTTCTCCTCTATTCTCTTGGGATCTTGGGCATGTACACACGTGTCTGGCATGAGTTTTAAGCTGCCGGGTCCAGGACTCAATCCCCAGTAGACTACATGAGAGTCCGGCAAAGTAACCATTACGTCTTCTGCTGATTCCGGTATGTCGTAAATTAGAAAAGCTGCTCCAGGGTCTGGCAGATGGTGTGGTGGTTAAGAGCGCTGTACATCCCACATGGACAACCAGGGTTTGAGTCCCAGACTTGGTGGCTTGAGTTCCTACTTTCCCTTTCTCTCTCATTCTATCCCACTCTGGCCAAATTAAGATAAATCAATAAAGTTAAATAAAATACTTCTTAAAAAAGAAAAAGAAAAAAGCTGCTCCAAAGTCAGAGATTAATCACTTTGTATATCCTTCTACCCTATGGCATGAAGAACATCAAGAAGACACCTGTTTTCTTCTATTTCCTCCTTCCTTGAGGAAGCTAATCTATATCACCTGTTTCTTCCAAAATAAGAAATAGGGAATTTCATTTCAGTGTGAAAAACGTAAAGAGCATTTACAGCTATATTCTTGATAGGATATTCTTCTTAAACATGAGGTAAGGCATACACCTATCTAGAAGTCACTAAACCAGCAAATAACTACTGAAAACACAATCAAGAAAAGGATCAAATAAGGCTTCTAAGTAGATAAAACAGACTTCTCAAAATCTATGCACTCAAATTTACAACTAACTTACAAGTAACTTTGCTCTCACTTTAGGTAATTCAAACACTGGGGAATAATAGAGAGATGAAGCAGTAAGAGCCAAAAAGCTAGGGATGACAGCAAGGGACCACAGCCCTTAAAGAGACAGTTTAGAAAACCAAAGTGTGTGAGTGTATGAGAGAGAGAGAGAGATAACATATAATAAATAACATGAAGAAAGGTTACAAAGGAGGATGCAGAATAGGATTCCAGGTTCGTTAAAACACAGCACAACACAATATAAAAAACTAGACAAATAGGAATTTGGGGGAAATTGCCTACATATCATCAGGCCATCAGGTCATTATTACATCCTGCCTGGACCAAAGCAATGGTCTCCTAACTAGTTTCCCCATTTCCTCACTTGCTCTCTTACCATCTGTTCTTTTACACAGTGACCTTGAGTTTATACTGGGTCGTTGGAAAAATCATGATGCCTTTTTTCATAGAAAAACACATCATGACTTTTCAACCACCCAATAAAATGTAAATCTATTTCAACAAGATTTCCCTTCTGAAACCTCCCATGCTGAAGACCTAAATCATTCCCTTAGACCTAAATCCAAACCCTTTCACATGGCCTATAGGGTCCCTCAGGCCCACACAGCAGATCTACATCCAGCCTCATACACCTTGCACTAATCACATAGAACTACTTTCAGTAGCATCAGAACATTCTAGGCCTCTCTTCTCCCTGCCTCTAGGCCTTTGAACATGCCATTCTCTCTTCCAGGAACATAAAATTAAACCTCAATGAATTTATCCTGCCAATACAATAGTCCATGTGCCTACAGATCTGTATACAAGGCAGCTATGTACTACAGTATTTTTCTCTAATGGAAAAAGATTATTCTGGACAACTCAAATGTCTAGAACAATGTATACAGTAGTCTACTATTTGTGTTTACTAAAAAAGACATATAAACCCATATTTGTACATGCACAAAATTTTCTCTGGAAGGATATATAAAAATGCTAATATTTACTTCCTCTGGGGAAGAAAAAGGATCAGAAGTGGAAGTATTAATTTTAATTATTACCATTTTGTACTGTTTGAAAGATTTAAATTAAATTTTAAGAACTCTTTAAGAAAAAGTAAGTATATTCAGGACCAGCAGTTGGTGTAATGGCTATGTCGCTGGACTCCCATGTAGTCGACCGTGGTTCAAGTCCCAGATCCAGTGGCTTAAACTCACACTGGGTACATGTGCGTGCATGCCCAAGATCCCAAGAGGAGAATGGAGAAGGGACTTTGGCATGGCCATCCCCCCTGGGGGTTGATTTCTGTCTCTCTGTCTTTCTGGCAAACGCATGTGCCCTATAGCAAAAACCTCTCCCTCCTCCCCCCAACAAAAAAAAAAGAAAAAGAAAAAATAAGTATATGCACATTAATAAAAGAATGAGAAAAAGCTCAAAAGTCAATATACCAAACAATATTTAATAGTGTTTACCCTTGGGTTCTTTAGGTTCTGAATATTACTTCAATTAAATATATATATATAAAAATAAATAAATAGCTTAGGATGAAACAAAATTTTTTCAACTTTGCCAGAGGGCACATGTGCTTGCCAGAGAGTGAAAGCCAGAAAACACCTATCAAGGGGAATGGTGATCCTGTAATCTCTTCTCCACTTCCCCTCCGTTTTGGATTTTGGACATTCATGCACATGTACCTTGTGTGTTTTTCAAGTCACTGGGTCAGGGACTCAAACCACAGAGTCGGCCATGTAGGATCCAGCAGTGTAAACCACCATACCACTGGCTGGCCTAGATCAATATTTAAGAGAGAAAAATTCCAAGAAACTGCCTTGGCACCTCAACTGTTTCTAACACTCAGGCAGATACACAGCTGCCAGTATCCTCCTCTTACCTTCCTTTTCTGTCTGCACTTTTTTTTTTTGGGGAGAGGTTTTTGCTATAGGGCGCATGCGCTCGCCAGACAGAGAGAGACATAGAGACAGAAAGCGAGAAATCACCCCCCCGGGGGGATGGTCACGCCACAATCCCTTCTCCATTCTCCTCTCGGGATCTTGGGCACGCACGCACACGCGCCCGGCGTGAGTTTTAAGCCACCGGGTCCTGGACGCTAACCGCAGTCGACTACGTGGGAGTCCAGCGACATAGCCATTACGCTAACTGCTGGTTCCCCCTGTCTGCACTTTTGAAATTGTTCTAGAGAAACTCTCTACTCCACTCAAGAAGTCGAGATGTTCCTATCAGGGTAAACTAGGCAAAAATGCCCTTTATCATTTTTTACTGTATTAAAAGCTTCAGAGCTACTTCCTACTTACTGAATTCCCTTTTCCCTTAAAAAATATAGAGGCAATAAAAGAGCTATAAACCCACCTACAGGTTTCATATATACATTTTTGTTTATATCAATTGTCCCCTCCCAATACATATACACATATACTCCCATATGAGAAGCCATATTGTATATACTGGGTTTTTTTTTTTTTTTTTTAGGGGGGGGGGCCCCCCCCCAGAACGGGC